CACGTAACAGATGTACTTCAAATGTTCACACATGTAACATGGTAAAAAGTCCTAGACCTCATTATTTTTTCGGTAGCCATCTTGCATTCTGGCAGCCATCTTGGAAGTTTAAAGATAAATCTTGTCATCACGATTTCAGGAAAACCAAACGGATTTACTTCAAATTTTCACACATATTACATGGTAAGAAGTTCTAGAGCTAATTAACCTTTCTGTGGCCATCTTGCATTCTGGCGGCCATCTTGGAAGTTTTTTGGATAAATCTTGTCATTGTGATTCCAGGAAAACCACTTTACTGATTTTCTTGAAACTTTTACACATGTTACAAGGAAGGTTACATGCTACCTTTTATATTGATATAAACAGGGGCAAAAGGCAGTAAAGTGGGGTTACACAAAGTGGTATTCTAAGGAGAATGTTATCTATTTTTCTGTATTTTAAACCACATAATTTGACATAAATGCATATTTGGTGTATGATATCATGTTTTATATTGATAGAAACATGGGCAAGAGGCGCTACAATGGGGTAACACATGGTGATATTCTAAAATTCATATCTTTACTCTGCTTCTGTACTTTATACCACTTAAATGCATTTTGTGTATGACATCGATTGATTTTTAGAATAAATAACTACATTTCATCAAAAAGAAAAAAGATTATTGAAAACGTCAAACATCTCTTTGAAATCCATTATTGCACAGCGATTTTTGAGAGCGAAATGTATGCTAAATTGGCCTTGGTCTGAGTATATAACGGAATTAAAGCTCTTTTAAACGAAAATGTAAATGTGTGGAAAACCTTTCACTGTGCATCATGTCAACGAAATGTTCTTCTTGCAGTTGAATTATCTTCTGGACAGGTGATCACACAGAAGGAGAGACCTGCGTATCATATATAATATAAACAAAAATGACAAATGAGAAAGGAAAAAATTGTAAAGCAACCTAGTGGGAAAAGCAAACTGTTAAGTGTAAAACTGAAACTGGCAAACAAAAATCAAACCTGAATATCCCAAGACAATAATCTAATATGTGTGAACATGTGTGAACATTTGAAGTACATCTGTATGACATGCTGGTGCTCTGAACCAGCTCGTTAGTTAATATCTGACTAAGAGACAGCTTGCTTTCCCGATAAAGAAACGTTATCTGCAGCTATTATGAGTACTATAGTATCTACAACTATTTTTGATCTTATGAGTATTGGATATCATTATTTTCAATTTTTCTTCAACATGTATTTAAATGACTTCAGTATGAATGGAATGTCCCTCGGAGTTGTGGTCGTTGATGAGGAATTGGTCATTGAACGGTGTGGATGCTGTTTATTCCCATATTAGATTATTGTCTTGGGATATTCAGGTTTGATTTTTGTTTGCCAGTTTCAGTTTTACACTTAACAGTTTGCTTTTCCCACTAGGTTGCTTTACAATTTTTTCCTTTCTCATTTGTCATTTTTGTTTATATTATATATGATACGCAGGTCTCTCCTTCTGTGTGATCACCTGTCCAGAAGATAATTCAACTGCAAGAAGAACATTTCGTTGACATGATGCACAGTGAAAGGTTTTCCACACATTTACATTTTCGTTTAAAAGAGCTTTAATTCCGTTATATACTCAGACCAAGGCCAATTTAGCATACATTTCGCTCTCAAAAATCGCTGTGCAATAATGGATTTCAAAGACATGTTTGACGTTTTCAATAATCTTTTTTCTTTTTGATGAAATGTAGTTATTTATTCTAAAAATCAATCGATGTCATACACAAAATGCATTTAAGTGGTATAAAGTACAGAAGCAGAGTAAAGATATGAATTTTAGAATATCACCATGTGTTACCCCATTGTAGCGCCTCTTGCCCATGTTTCTATCAATATAAAACATGATATCATACACCAAATATGCATTTATGTCAAATTATGTGGTTTAAAATACAGAAAAATAGATAACATTCTCCTTAGAATACCACTTTGTGTAACCCCACTTTACTGCCTTTTGCCCCTGTTTATATCAATATAAAAGGTAGCATGTAACCTTCCTTGTAACATGTGTAAAAGTTTCAAGAAAATCAGTAAAGTGGTTTTCCTGGAATCACAATGACAAGATTTATCCAAAAAACTTCCAAGATGGCCGCCAGAATGCAAGATGGCCACAGAAAGGTTAATTAGCTCTAGAACTTCTTACCATGTAATATGTGTGAAAATTTGAAGTAAATCCGTTTGGTTTTCCTGAAATCGTGATGACAAGATTTATCTTTAAACTTCCAAGATGGCTGCCAGAATGCAAGATGGCTACCGAAAAAATAATGAGGTCTAGGACTTTTTACCATGTTACATGTGTGAACATTTGAAGTACATCTGTTACGTGGTTTTTGTGGAATCGCGATGACAATATTTATCTGAAAAAAATTCCAAGATGGCCGCCAGAATGCAAGATGGCCGCCGCAAAGTTAATCAGCTCTAGAAATTCTTACCATGTAACATGTGTGAAAATTTGAAGTAAATCCGTCTGATTGTTTACCTGGAATCGTGATGAAAAGAAAGTGAGACTTCAGAATGCCACCTTGTCTAACCCCGTTTTGGTGCCTTTTGCCCCTGTTTACATCAATAGAAGAGGTGTTTTCTTTAAGAGGGAAGTCTGTTCTTTCAAACGGTACAATCATTTTATGTGGGAAAGTACCGGACAACAAAACCCCTTTTCTAGAGCCCTTTTGGAAATCAGATCGGGGACTAGGAGGACCTACTCGTTCTAGTAGTTTCATGAAGTTTGTAAACAGATCCCAAACGGTTCTTAGTGGGTTCTTAGTGGGTTCGTGCACAGTTTAAGCCCGTTTTCGAGAACGTAGTGAGAACTAGTTTGGTGTGATAGTAGGGGTACCACCCTTTGGACATGAAGTCCAGAGCTGAATATGCCAGCTCATGTTGGTGATTGTTAAGTAAAATCAATCCATCCTTATAACTTAACATATTTCCTATAGATTAGTGAATTTTGGTCACGAAACGTTGAAAAACAACAGTTAAAACGAAGATTGTCCGCGTCCGTTTTGATTGTTCTGAATGCAAACCAACGGGGTCTTCTCATTTGCATAATCAGGTCACCTTATACCGCGCTATAGAGCTGTGTAAGGGGAGTAACACTGACTGACAGAAAACACAATCGCCACTGTTTTTCCTGTTCGTATTAACCCTTATTTATATATCATACATTTGAGTTGATCTATTATGTACCTAATGATGTGAACGGATTGCAATACCATAGAGTAAAATAACCGCAAAACGGTACAGAAAAGGTACCTAGGTCAGAGAAAACTGATCCCTCTATACACCATTGTGTAATGCAGATCATATAAAGCCCCGGATGTCGTGTCGTTTCGTTTGGTATACAACCTACTGCCCTGGGTATTAAATAAGCCCTTGAAATAATCAAGCTTTTTAAAATGATAAAGCATCAATATTGTCTTTAATTCGTAGCGTAATCTACGCATATAAAATTCTCCTTTCTTCCCCTTCTATTGTAATGTACACGTATAAGCTTCGCGCTTATTGGCCTGTGGAGGGCGCGCTATCATAGAAATGTACTATACCACCCTTGGTATACGCAGCTAACGAAAATTGACCGGCACGGGTCAAAAGCTGGACCGGTACGGGTTAACGGTTTTATTTGAATTTAAAACAGCCATAACTTGCTCAATATTGACTTCCTCGTGTCTAATTTGAAATATATGATGCCTCCCGATGCTTTTAAGTACCCCAATTTTTTACAGATTTTTAAACAGATCAAAACTCTCTAAATGCGCATTTATGCTCTTTTCTCTCGAGAACGACTGTCTCATTTTCACGATGACTTTTATTTAGTACTTCTAACATATAAGATCTATTTTTCCCCATCAAGGTATGATGTAAATGATATGCTATTTACATCTTGTGAGTTTCAATGACGCGCGTTTGATTTTATAAAAAATGCCAAACTTTGTGACAAAGAATTTCATCCTGCTTGCAGCGAGAAGACGGACCGGTTCGGGGCAATCTGCTTGTAGCGAGAAGACGGACCGGTTCGGGGCAATAGCTGATGCTCAACAATGCTTTTAGAGTCTGAGTCTAATTCCTCAATGATCAAACGTACAACTTTTGTTTTGGTTTTGTTATTCAATTAAACCATTTCGCCTATACCCTTCAGAAGAATCTTGTTTCTGGATGACATCGTATTTAGAATTTAAAGATACATTTTTATTACGGCGGACCAATGACAGGTCGGCTATAACTAGTTATTCCTCTGGTTATATAGCTGGTTATGCTACTGGAAGAACAACGAGCTGTTCTTGATGGACTATACCCTCGACTATCTAAAATGTGGCAATTCAAAGAGGGTCAAAGATAACAGATAAAAAACAGCAAACACACTGGTATGATGCAAAAAACGCAGTTGGGTTTTGATCGCGAGCAAGTTCCCGCTGATAAAGCGAGCGAAGTCCTGTTTGATGGATCAAGGGTAAAGATACCCAAGCAATACTTTCAAGATAGCTATGTTTAACAAACAATTACATGAAAATGAAGTTAAACTCAGTACACCTTTTTTCATATCACATATCGTTATTTCACCCACAGGACAACGCAAGGCAACACAGTTTTTTACCTAGAATATTGATATTCAAGATTCAAGATGATACTTTCTCTCTAAAATCCTTACAAAACCCAGAACTACAGCTCGTGTATATACGTTTCGCCAGAACTTGCTTATCTATACTAGTCGTAGTGCCATGTGATCATTAAAGACGAAAATTATATGAAAACGCTTTGTACAGCATACACTAGTAAACAAAAGATAACCTTTCGTCTCTTTCTATTGCTCGCGATTTCAGCGGGAAGGGAATTAGCTCGTGTTTGTCACCTATTGCGGGGCTTTTTGATCCGTGGATCATGCCCATGAAACAGGTCGTATGTCGTTTTTACTCCAGTTTAAATACTTTTCACTATTTTAGGTGTTTTGTGTTACAGGGAATCATGTTTGCGTTGAGCTGATACAATGTGTGCAAAATAATGGCGATTTGGAATGGCTAAAGAATACACATATCCATGATCGTGTTACGACGTTAAACTTAGATAAAGGATGTACGTATGTACAAAATAATGTAGGGAGTTCATTCAGAGGTTTATTCAGCACTTCGATTTGATTAACCGACGTTATGGACAATCGACTTTAGATCGTATTTCAGAATCAATGTACACATGTACATGTTTCGAGACTATGTCAATCAGTCGGAGAGCTGTTTGATACATCTCTTTTTTATAGATTAAAACAAGTATTTATCGAAGTTTAAAACAATACTGTATGTTGCATTTCGATGCATGATTTTTATTCTATTCATTTATTTTACATTTTGATGATACATGATATTTATGTAAGGACGCATCTTTAATGTTCTGTTTACATATAGTTCTGCAGGGCAAAACTAAAATGACAGAAAACGGGGAGAACCCGCTGATTCCTCTAGCAGAGGCCCCGTCACCCCGTTTCATATGGGGGGCTCACCATGCCTATGAATTCTCACCAAGAGGATTACAAAAACCTGAAAAATGTAAGGTAATTATCAAATAATAGGTAATCTTACTAGAATAGTACATACTAGTATAGTAATCCACTCTATGGATTTGGAATTTGAATTGCGCGTACATACACACATTCCACTCCATGGATTTGGAAATGGGATTGCGTGAAGTACATACTAGTGTAGTACATGTACTCCACTCCATGGATTTGGAAATTGGATTGCGTGAAGTACAAATAGAAAATAAAAAAAACAATTAACAAACAAAAATATAAATTAACAATTTTAAAAGCAAGAAAAAATCAGAAAATCAGATCGGCTATGATTGCACTTCATAACTCTTATCAAATTAACGGAAGTGTGTATTCAATTCAATTTGGAAGATGGTGAATCAAGATGTGAATGTGTTGAATTACTATCTGAAAATATAGGATACTACCTGTTTTCCATCCATTTCGTACTTCCTTTTGGTCAGGTCATAATCGGCTACAGAAACCCTAAAGCGTCTTACAGCAGTTTGTTTCACCTCTACCAAGAATGGACAAAAGCCGGTCTATTCACTGAACAATTCTCTTGGGAGGACTACATTGCTGCTTGCCTTACTGGAAAGAGTAGTGACTGTAAGTTTTATACCTTATTCGAATCATTACAATCACTTTATATATTAATACTGAATCCACCATGCCAAAGAGGTACGCATTAAAATTCAAAACCTTTTTCGAGGATGGCAACCTGTCTTTCACTCCCATCTGTACTATCTGTTACAGATTCAGGTGTTTCATGTGTTCAGGACTTGTATAGTAATCCCCTGGAGAGAGCTCATATTTCCCTCGAAAGGGAAGGCCACTCGTTCCATAACTATATTGAATATGTTATTTTCAGTTGTCTGTACCGGTGGTTCTTGGTTTGACTTTTACAAACAGTGGTGGGAAAACAGAAACGAAAATATGTATTTTCTTTGTTTTGAGCAGATTATAAAGGTTAGTACAATAGTTTTCATAATGAGCACGTAGGTTATCGCAAACAATTTCAGACAATTCTAACTTGAATATTGAATATTTTCTGATCATGACCATCGGTATATCTTTTAGACCCATCTGTTATCTTCAAGAAAACTGGATATAATGACGATCTAGTTAATCAGACCAAGACCAAAGGGATATTAAAGGGGCAATGGACCAATCAACATACTTTTTCAAAAATGTTGACCTAATTTTCACCAAAAATGCAACCTTTTATGATATTGTCGAATGCATAATTAGAATGTGTTTTGAGACATGTTCTATTTCCTAAAGGGAAAAGTTGATTGCTCCATGGACTTTAAAGATAAAGAATTTGGATGACCAAAGTGTACTGAAACCAATGGATAGCATGAGATTTTTCAATGGAGAAATAACACGGGAAACACTAATCTTAGAGCAACAGTTTTTCTTTCAAGAACTATTTGATATATCAAAATAAAGAATAGTAATGCATTAAACATTGTACAAAATGATTGCATTTTGGTAAAAAAGAGGTCAACATCTCTGAAAAAGTGTGCTGATGGGTCGATTGCTGGTTAAATATTTCCAAGTCCGTTTGACTTTATTATTATTATTGTATATAATTTTCCTTGAGATCGTGAATGGATTTAAAAGATATAATACCTGTTTTCATGGTCAGAAAATAGTCTTAATTAAAGATATAACTGTCTGAAATTGTTTGCGATAACCTACGTAAACCTTTGATATTGCTCTAACTCCCAATCTCCGTCAAATGCATGTGAGAACGAAATCCTCCTAAATTTCATTATGCTCTTTTCATACATGAAGGTAAAAAGTGTACCTCCAAAAAATACCAGAAAGTACCCATCTTAATAATACTGAACTCCTATAATCAATGGAGAAAACTTTACGCTTTATTCTTGATGTGGTTCTAACCCCTTTTATATTCGATATTCTCGAATATTAAAAAAATATTTTTTTATGACTTATAGGATTGCCCTAAAGTTATAGAGGAACTTGCGAATTTTCTGGGTAAATCACTCACCGATGAACAAGTGAAGACAATAGCAGATCATATCAAGTTTGACAACCTTAAAGGAAGTGATGCATTTGGAAACGCATTTGAACAGATAAAATCACTTAAAGAAGGTCAATCTTCACATATGAGGAAAGGTAAGGAAGTCTATGTGCATTTGCATAGCGGGAAATCGTGCGCCCATTTTGTTGTGCCATATCTGTATATTATTTATATTGTATTGTCTATGTTTTATTTATTCTTAACTTCCTCTAGTATAGTATAACGTTCATGTTATGTATAACGTTTTTATATACGGAATATATGACGGAGGCTTTCGTGTCTCTGAAGATCTCGTTTGTGTTCTTTAATTTTACGTCTTCCAATTGCGAAATTTTGACTTGATTATGGTTTTTATTGTTAAAAACAGTTTCCATGATTTTAAACCTCTTTGTACGGTCATTTGCAGGTAAAATCGATGATTGGAAAAACAACTTCACGGTGGACCAAAGTGAACAGTTTGATAAACTCTATGAGGAGAAAATGAAAGGCATTGGGTTTCCTGAACCGATATACGAATAAGACTTAAATGACCCACGTTGTAATTGCTTTTCACTTCATGATCGAACTAAAATGAGCCTGTGATTTTTTTAAACAATAGGTTTATTTCATTACAATGTTTCTAATGACATAATCAAACCAATGCGACAAATCGCCTGCATTTTATGTCCACTTTCAAATACAGTGTTACATGTACGTATGGCATAAAAATAATAAATAGATAAATAAAACACGCCCATGATTGCATTCAGTTTAAAGTTTTAAGATTTCTCTTCATGTCGTACAAGCATTACTATACATCATATCACAATATCAATAGCTACACATGATCATGATCAAAGTTTACCACTACAAATTTAAAAGGACGAAGTCCAAATTACACGAGGGTGAAGCAGATCTACGCAAATACGATCACAGTTCATATCTCAACAAAAAAAACAGGCATATTATTTTTGTGATAAACTACGAGTATTGGTTCTTAGGGGGAGGAATAGCCGATTTATTAATATCAGATGTAGTGCACTGCATGCGACAGCAAATCGTATTTTGTACTGGTATTGAATAGCTTGCCAAGTGTACATTCTTTAAAAACAATAAAAAATAATACACTCCTTTAAGTTACGGCTGGACATTATTTAGTACTGATAAACTACGAGTATTGGTTTTAGGGGGAGGAATAGCCGATTTATTAATATCAGATGTAGCGCACAGCATGTGACAGCCAACCGTATTTTGTGCCACACTGGTATTGGATAGCTTTGCAAGTGTACATTCTTTAAAAACAATAGAAAAATAATACACTCCTTTAAGTTACGGCTGGACATTATTTAGTACCCCACACAAGTCTTTGATAATAACTTTGACTCGCGATTTGAACACTCTACCCTTAACCATTTGTTTCAAATTCAGCATAAACTAGACACATAAACTAGAGGCAAATTCCAACATTGGAAATCTTTTATTGAGCCATGGCCATATGTTTAAAGTCCCCATATAAAGTTTAAACCACTTTGACTAATATTGTAGTCTTACCCAATATTATCAAAGTCTGATATGTGAAACTTTTTACTTTAATTTCAAAAAGTGGTTTTTGAAGGACTTTTTGTTCGAAAAATCGTGAATTTCTTTAAAACTAACTTTTAGAGGTTACATGTATCATTTAATAACCGATAATTCATACCAATACACAGGATTCATCCTCACGTTTTTTTGCCGAAAAAATGAAGAAAATCGATTCATAAATAAGCGAGAAATGAACTCATAAATCCATGAAAATGGTTCAGAGAAAAATGCAGAAAAAATACCGCGGTAATTACGAAGAGCTGACGTGCAACGGATGGAGCTGTCGTACTTCAATCCCACCTTGGACATTTTTTAAACGAGTTGAACTGTCTGAGAACGCTGAGAACGAGGTAGAATTAGTTGCAAACGGGTTTTAACTGATTAAGAACGTAATAAAGACTGCGTCTTAAGCGTTCTTAATCAGTTTAAACCTGTTTGCAATTTGTCCTACCTCGTTTTCAGTGATACTTCCTCAGACAGTTCAACTCGCTGTGAAAAACGTCCCTAGTAGGATTGAAGTACGACAGTTCCGTTCGTAGTACGTCAAGTCCGTCGTTGGTACGTTGTCACTCGTTCTAAATGCAGAACACGACGACCACGAGAACATTTTGAGCATTAGTCCATGGTACGACTTCCGAATATAAAGGATCCGTAACACACAATAGCCCAGCAATATTTGAAGCAATATTTATGAAGGTGCATATGCATTGCTTCTCTCAAAATACCATTTGCTGAAAAAACCTCCGGCTTTCGGGTCGAAAAATGTCTTTCATCACATAGGGTTCAAATAACGTAAATATTTTGATTCGAACTTTTATACATTTTGTAAGACACAGACCGTTATTCTAAGCATACTTACAAAAGAAAGATTATCATAATGTAAAAATATACCATAACTTTACAGTATATGTCGGTGTTTAATTAGTGTAATAATGCAAGTGTGTTTTTTTTATTTTGTTGGATTTTTCAAATATGAGCCAATCAGATTCAACAAAATAGTGTGGAATATTTAGGTAATATATGATTGGGAACATATTAGTTTTCTTACCATTTAAAACATTTTATTACCAGAATTTTTCCTTATAATCGCAAGGGGTCAAACAACAAATTATTGTTCATGTTTTATAAAACATAATACAATAACAAATAGGTAAGATTTATACTTAATTAAATGTTACAGATGTATTGGAATGTTCATATATTCCAAGGGCATGTCTAATAATCAATTAGAGTCATATGCAATCGAACGCCTTGCAATTCTTCCTCGACGTTACTGCTGGCTATCATCAAGTTTTCTGATGGTTGTTTCTTCTTTGACCTTACAGCTGGATATAATCAAGTTTTAGGAAGATAGTGATAACGATTATTCATTATTCGACCAAGTCTTGATGGTTGTTCTATAAGCAACTGAGCTATATCTAGTGACTACGAGAAATAGAATTTTAGTCAAGGAAGATCGATAGGCCCTCCTTTATTGGTATTGTTCACCGCGGAATAGAAGTCCATATCTCAAAACGTATTGAGACCCATTTTGTGAAAAACTAGCATAATTTAAGCATTTGTCGTTCTAATATAAAAGTTATTCATTTGTAGCATTTATCTTATTAATACCTGAGAAACAATACAAAACGTCGATACACTGATTTCATAATATTTTGGTATCAATAAGAAAAATAACCTCAAACTTATAGCTTAGAAACCTAAATCATATATTTAAAATCATGCATTATTTTCTGTTGCATCGTGTACTCCAAATTGTGAAAAATTGGGATATTATTTTTTGGTAATCTTTTGACCTCTGTTAATGGCAGGCATAATTCAGCCTAAAAGCCGGAAGTATATATTAAACGGTTATAATTAAAAGTATTAGATATGCACACTATAATTATTATCGAATTTATGCTCAGTCATCACCCTTACTTCAAAGCACAATATCTTATGTACCCACCAGAGAAAAATAATTAAAATCTGTATCAACTTATACTGTACTAAATGACCCACCAGGCCCATCAAAGCCCAAAGACACTGTATGCAGAGACATCTATTCATGTATACAGCATTTATTTTATAGAACAATAATGGAGTTCACATCTGACCTAAAATACCTTCAATTCTGAACAAAATACTCAATCGACCGGAATCGGCGCAAATGTGACCCAGGCATTATGCAGATGGCACGTGTGTGATGCATGCAACGTTTCCAAACAGTCGAACCCTGTTTCAAGAACGTAGCGATGACAAGTTTGTTGCGACTGGTCGTAAAATAAGTTGCTCGATCGTCCATATATATGAACAGTCTTCAGTATAAAAAGTGAAATATCTTTCACTGGATTAAACAGATAATGTTTTCTTTTACTTGGTATAATTTTAATTTGTATATACAATATATAGTTACAATATATTTAATCTATAGTTATAACTATCAGATACATGCATGTAATATGAAAAGTGAACCACTAAAACTGATGAATATTCAACTTTAAAAGAACTTTGTAATACCCTGCCATGATATCACCCCGAATTAACCACCTGGTGGCGAAACTGGTAACTACCTACCTACTCGCATCTGAGTAATTGAATAAAACCTAATCAAAATCTTAACTTGCATTTGCAGGTAAAATCGATCCGTAAAAGAAGTATCTTGCAGTGGCTGGGAGATCTATGGATGGCTGGATAGGCTATATAATTAAAGAGAAAAAGAAGAGGTCACAAAGCCAATGTACAGATAAAACAAACTGACCTTCCGTAATGATGTTGTCACTCTCATTACAAGATCGATAGACAAAATAAGATTTGTTCTAAACCTGGAAATAACAGCGGATGTTAAATCTGCCCACATAACACACTGCTTCGCACGTTTTCCATCAAATTGATTCACTGACTTTTGTAACCTCGAATCCAGCATCATCTTCGTTCAGAGATCAACATGTGTTTTTTCTGTGAGCTGCAGACACAAATGCCTCGGATCACAAATCCGATAGATCGTATTTTGTTGTTTCAATGCGTAATTTGAATAACCATATACCTTAGAGTACAAGTGTCGATTTCAAACGTGTAACATGCATTATAGACACTGGAGAGGTTTCTCACAAAGTTTTTTTTAGCTCAACGGATCTAAAATCGGTTGTGGTTGCAAATACGTTAAAGCATTAACCCGTTGTGCGAAACCTCACTATTTTCAAATTAAAAAACGTCTTTTACCCTTTTTAGAATTAAAAACCTGTCCCCAGGTTTGACCATTTAGGATAATCTTTAATTCGAAAGGATTGAATACATTATGAAGCGCTCGCTTTTTTAAGGGAACGAAATTAAACTGTTGGAACAGGTACAATGAATATGATCTCTATGTTCTCCAGGTACTGTTCTCTGATTGACCAAAACAATACAATTGTACTGCTTACGCCAAGGCTTACCCATCCCATTAAACCAAACCCCCATGCCATCTGCTACGAATCTCACAAAGCATTGATAGAGAGGACATTGACACTGAGTGAAATATCTGCCAAGGACGTTTTATCATAGGGGAGCTGATACAGGATCCCAACCTGCTGGCAAGCATGCTGATTACCATTCAGTTGAATATATTATACCTTTTGACAAAGGCATCATGTCTAAAATATTGTTGACGCTGTTGGTAATGTACATGTAAAATAGTTGGTGTTTGGAGAAAGGAAAATGAAATCCCTGGACCCATGACAGTGTGCACTGTTCCTAATGAAAATTATGGTTTTGGCTCGTCCAGTAAGAGGAATCAAAATATGGGATCCGTTGTGTATTCAAATCAGTTCGTCGACCTTTACAAGAACACACGAGAGTCCTTTAAAAGTTGTTGGATAAACTCATGAATAATCCATGCATCCTCTTATAGCGCATGAGGGTATACTTGGCCATTATTGTTGATCGTTATTATGAATTGTTCTTGTATTCTGGGACTTCATCAAATATGAATTAGAAATAAGCAGACGAGGCTGGTATGTCTATGGAATCAGAGTATTGCAATGGGCGAATAAAAGGACGTCGTAATCAAATTTGCCTCTCTGAAAGATCAGTGAATGTAGTTCCAAGAAATAGAAAATTGACGCAACCTAATATGCGAGGAAATAGGTACTAATTTGACAGCTTTATCCACTAGGGTTCGAAAAAACTGTTAGGCATATGATCAGCAATGGCATTGTAG